CCATTTCTATCATTTGGTTTTTTATTTTTGTTGGCTAAATTGTGAGTTCTTTTTGAAATCTCTTTCTCGGCATACTTTATAACTTGTTCTTTTACCTTGTCACGAAGTTGAACATTATTTAATGACCTTTTGTGTTGATGATGACCAGTAGTAAACTGTTGATAATAATAATTTGTACCACCAAAGTCGTTAAAAAAAATTATAATCAACACTATTATAATAAATAGATTTGTTTTTGTTCCTAAACTTTTTAAATACGAATAATCAATTTTACAAATAAAATTCTTTATATAATTTTGAAATTTATGGTGTGTCTCCGTATAAGATTGTTCTCCTCCAATTAATTCAATGGTGTCATTGTTTCCATTCTTATCACCATCGCCATCGCCATCGCCATTGTTATTATTGTATGTGTAATTGTCACTAACCGTGCTACCAAAATAACTACAACCACTTTCACTATTACTTATCTGGTTAATACTAATATTACTATAATTGATTTCATTATTATTAAGCTCACTACAAACGCTACTGCTGCTACCTACACCACAAATATCACTATCATTGTCATTATAATAATCGTTATCATCGGCAGTTATTAGCGTTGAAATTCGCGAATCAATAAAATTGTTATTATTATTGTTATTTTGATAATGATCATTACTAAATTCCAACGAATCTATTTGATTATTACCATTCATATCATTGTTGTTGTTGTTGTTATCATCAATAATTGTCTTAATTAGTAATTGCATTGTATCCACTTTTTTTGTAACTTCTATTCCAGCAGCTGTTAATTGATCTTTATAATTGGTAAATAAATTTTTTTTCATTTTATAATACATAACTTCTTGTAAAGCATCGAAATTATTAACCAGCCAGAATTCTTGTGACTGGCTATTATAAAGTTTTTGCCTGATTTCTAGTGCAGTTAACTCAGCGCCAAGTAATTTTTGAGCATCTTTTTGTATACGCAATACAGCTAATAGAAAAGCATCATCTAGTTCTGCTAAAGTTGGAAATACTGGATATAACCAACGTCT